AGCAGCTCCCGCCGAGGCACCGGCTGCCCGTGCCAGGGCCGCACACCGCGGGGAGCCCCGGAGAGAGAAAGCTCCCCTGCGGCTCCCTGCGGAGCTCTCTCCTCAGGAGACTGACAGGGAGAGCTTCCCGCTGTGCCGCTGCTCGGGCTGCGGAATTCCCACCGCAGCAGCTGGTGTAGCTGCAGCATAGCCCAGCCACTGGAGCCTCTGCTCTGTGCGCTCCTGGCTGGATACCTCTGCGCTGAGGTACTTGATTCCTCAGTCTTGTTGCCTGCTTTGTTTCCTGAATATTTATCTTCTGTTTCTTTTCCATTGATCCATATTTGTGTTTGATAAGTTTCCAATTGTTTCTGCTTTGTGCTCTGAGTTTAATTTTGGCGCGGTTATTGCACTGTCTTAGTGTTTAGGCTGTATACATGGCTCTTTTTCCTTCTGGGCACATTGGTATCACCTTCTTAGTATTCTGGTCTTTTTGTTGGCACATGTGTTTTTGTTATGTGTTACCAGCTTGTGCCCATTTTCTGCTTAGAGTCTTGAGGTTTTTTATGGTTTCTGGACTTGCCTTAAAGACACAATGTTTTGACACAAATTTTTGACCCTTCCAGAGGAAAGAAAATGCTAAACCTGTTTCTTAGTGACTTCAAGAAGAACCTTTCAGCTCCTAGGTTTTGTTGATTTTTGAAAAGCAAACATGCTTTTTGGATCATCATCCTGAAACTTTCCATGCAGAGTTACCAGTTCTAGTCCCCAGTATTATTTACATCTTTCTGAGAACAGCTGTGTTGTAAAGCAAAGATGAAATTGGGGAAAAAGCTGTTACTCTGGTTATTCACGTATACGTCTGACATACTCACATGGTATAAATGTTTTCAAAAGCACTGGAGCAACAACAAAAAAAGGCTTTTCTGAAATGCACTTATAACTCGTTTTAAAATCAGGTGTTGTACAGTGACCTGAATTACTTCCAGTGTAGAAAAAGCCTTCGGAGGGGATAAAATGTTTTGGAAATCACATTCTGGACTGACCAGGATTATTTCTCTTGGAAAGACTAGTTTTATATTAGTTCCTTGGACATAAGAGAATCATCCTTAGGTTTGTAGGAACAAATGACATCTTGTGTGCATGGTTGTTCTTGTGTCAGCCTGTGATTACTCAAGAGGAATCCCAAAGCTTCTTCTCCCTGACTCCCTAATAGCTGCTGCTGGTTCAAAGAGCCATGAGTGCTTCCCATGAAGTTTCAGAGCTGGCCTGTACCTGTGGTGAGGGAGAGTGTTGGCATTGAAGTGGCACAGCCTGTTTGCAGGAGCCCATCTAATGCTCCAGAGTAGCCTCAGGGGCATGCTATGTAAAAAGGTCACTGCCTCTTCATTTTGTTCTGGAAGGTCTAATGTCAGCGAGCTGAAGAATTCAGATATCTTGTGGATGGAAAGAAAGAGTTGATTTAACAAAATTTATTGTCTAATTTTACTGATGACTGTCCCTTGATCATTCTTACATCTTTTGATGTGTTATCCTTTCACAGAGGCATAATTTGGGAGCTTTTGTTTGGGTTTTAATCTCTGAAGAGATTCAGTAATTTTTGTCAATACAACAAAGAGTAGTTAATTGAAAATTTCAGATGGAGTAACTTGCAAATTTGCCTACCAACCCCCAATTTTCTAATTTAAGTGAGATCTCTTACTCTGCTGCTATTCTGCTGTGCTTAATAGTAATCGCTTGTTGAGAAAAGGCTTTTCTTTCTGTAGTGCTAATTCAGCACAGTGGAGAAAGATAACCAAGGAGCTTGTGTTCGTGTAGGAACTACAGTCTGCAGATATAATGTGGCCTGGAAAAGGGTAAGAAGATGTGCAAGTATCACACAAGGAAAGGAAAAAGATGGCAGATAAAGGAATGATATGGAAACAATGAAGGATGATTTTGAGATTGTGCATTTCTTTTACAAATGAGATCTGTGGTTCATGAAAAAGCGTGATAACTGACAGAAGGCCAGATCTGAGGCACTGAAAAAGCAGCCTATCTCAGATATGAGCAATTCATGATGATTCTTTAGACTATTTTACTGTCTTAAGAGTCCTTTAGTAAAGAAACTTTCATTATGCTTACAGATTCCATTTTCTGTGGGATGCACTGTAGGTTTTAACATCCAAAATATGTCAGAAAATAAACTCTTATCTGAAGCTGTTGAAGCACCTGTATTAAAGTGAAAATTGGATTTTATACTTGAATTTGTAGTGAAGAAACTTATGCAATACTAAAGACCAATGAATTTGTTTAAAACTTTGACACTGTTATTGTCAAAATAATGTTTGGATCTTGCTTACAATCGGGTAGGGATCTTTGATTGCTTTATTAATTTTATGTCCTAAACCATACATTTAGTAAATATTACCTTCAAAAGATTTATGCAAAGGAACTTCTAGATATTCTAAAACCCTACACATAGTAAACATGCCAACCTGACAATGAATATTTAAAATTTATATTCAGAATCATTCCATCATTATCACTCTTAAATATGGCCTCTCATTTTCTTCCACTTAATTGTAGTGTATAACAGATTATTGTATTGACAATAACATTAATAGATTTTATTTATACTGATTGGGGTGCTGCTCATCAATTTACAAATTTGGTTACTCCATTTTCTTGAAGTTTCTGAGAAGTTACGTGTGTTTCCAATATACCCTGAAGTAGAACTAAATATATAAATAATATTGGGAAACCAAAAAAAAACCCTGGTTGGAATAAATAAATGTCATTACATTAAATTAATGAACACAAAATATTAAATAAATCCACCTATGTTTTAGAAATGTTGAAGCAAGTTATCCTTATTTATGTAGTTAACAAACTCACAGAAATCTTTGTTAAAAAGAAAATAAAAAACCAACTGTATGAAAATTGCCTGATTGTGTGGTAAGGAAATGTATTCCTTCTGGACATAAATTTTATAAAATAAGATAGAATGAAAGACTTGGTGCTTGTGTATATATTTGTTTTCCATATTTTAAAGGTTTGGAGACCCTTTGTAAATTTTGATCATGCGAAAATATTCAAATAATTTAGTAGTGCACGATGGTTTAGAACAAAGCCAGACAGTAATGAGCAAAGTACAGATCAGTTATAATAAAGAAATAAACTTTTGTTGCAAGATGCTTCTGAAGTTCTATTTCATGAAAGTTTAATGTCCTGATGTTAAGTACAGATTAACTGCCTTCAGTGTTATAGGAAAACATTAATCTTTGATAAAAATAGCTTGCATTCAGCTGGCCAACCCCATAAAAGTGGCCTGAGTTCTTGCACTGTTCCTACATGCTCTATGTGGAGGTCACCAGCTTGGAGAGAAGGGGCAGAAATATTTTAATTTGGGTTAATATATTTTTGAAAAATGGTCATCAGCAATAATGGATGTCAGCCATCCCCTAGAATCACAGAAGACAGAGAGAAAACAATGTTATTATAAAGAGTTTAGCATATATAGATTACTTAAAATTCACATTTTAGCATTGAATTTATGCTACTTCTAACAGTTTGATTTGAGTAGCTGCAGGTAACTAGCGCTGGCAACACACTGAGCAGAAGTGTCCTGAAATATCTGCAGGTATTTCTCAAAATACTGGAAAGCAATAAATTTATGAATGCTCTTATTATGGTTTCTGTAGTTTAGAAAATAGAGTTGACAGCTATAGAAGGATGCTAAGTTGTGATTCATGTGTGTTGATTTGCAATAGCAGCTAGAAAATGCACTTTGTCACTATGCATCTTAATTGACTGGGAGAACAGAAGTTATTCATTGAGACTTAGAATAGTTTTAAATTTCAAGGTTTTCACTATTTTTTCTCCTTCATTGTTCAAGTAAAAGCCTTTTTCTCTAATGCATCTTGCAGATGTCATTCTAGCTTCTGTAGGTTTACATAGAATAAACCTATTTATGATCTCTATCATAGGTAACTGGGTCACACAGCTGTTGCATATGGAAGATTTCCCAAGGTTACTGGTGATCAGAATGCAAAGTTCTTCATATTACTATAAGAGAATTTAATTTATCTGAAGAACATTTTGTTGTTAATTAAATTTTTTTATGGCTGTTTAGTTTCTGGTACTTTCCACTGATCTAATGTTTTTACCTGGCAGCTTCCCAAATTGCTCTTATTTTTAATAGACTTCTCCTTAATGCTTGAATGGGTTAAGCCTCTATCCATCTTTATCAGGAAAGACTTAGCTAAAGTGAATTTCAATCAAAATCTTACAGCGTTTTAATGATTTCTTGATCCTTGTGATTAGTAACTCTTTTCTCTTTACAGAATTCTGATGAAATACCATTTATTTCTATTTCCCCACAAATTTCTATAGGGAAAATAGTAAATTTCTTGTACTTCTTTTAGTACTTATCCCTGCATTTCAAAGTTAAAGATTTTGTAGTCCTGAGCCCTAGCATTCACATATATTTTTCACATATTTGTGATTCTTGGAATTGGGTCTAATGTAACAATCAGACAAGTTAGTTGTTCACAAGCTGTATAAAAGACAGTTCTGTGGTGTCTTCAGAAAATGTTTGACTTCCTTGACTTGCACATGGCTCTTTTGCTTTCAGCAACCAAGTAATTAAAATCCCACTGTGATGAAAAATTTCGCTTTTATTCGGAGCTTTTCTGTCTCTGAAAATGTATTTCTGATCTATTTTCTATCACTGCCCTGAAGGTCTGTAGCAATTTATAAAGCATATCACCAAACTTAAGACTGTTGTTCTACTTGACAACTAGACAAGTGACCTGATCCATGTAATCATAGACATTGTACTGTGTGTTTTACCAGTATAAATATTTTCTATTATTGCCTTTCCCCTTTACCTTCTGTGTTATTCCTTGGTAAATTTTGTATTCAGATCTTTCAAATTACCACTAGACTTTGCATTTCAGTCATGTCCCTTTTATATCAACAATGACCTACATGCAGGGTTGG